CTCGATCCCAGGACCCTGGGATCATGACCTGAGCCGAAGGCAGACGCCTAACGACTGAGCCACCCCGGCGGCCCCCAGTTCTGTGGTTTCTAAGTACCTTCACAGTTGTACAGCCACTACCATGATCAGTTTTAGAACATTCTCATCATCCCAGAAAGAAACCCCACATCTATTAGCAACTGCTCCCTTTTTGTTTCAAACTCCTCAGCCTGGCGTCCACTCCTCCACCTGCGGTCTGTGGATTTGCCAATTCCTGACCTTTTGGGGCAATGCGGTCTTATAGGACGCGGTGCTTGTGGCCAGCTGTGTTCACTCGGCAGCATCTGGGGCTCGTGTGTGTGTGGTGGGGGTCAGTGCTCCGCTCCTCTCCTTGTTGGGTATTCCCTTGTGCGGGTGGACCACGTTTGGTTTACCCAGCACGTGACGGACGAGTGGGTGGCTTCCGCTCTGGCTGTTGCGAGCAGTTCTCCGAATCTTCGTGTACAGACTTTGGTGATAACCCTGCTTCACATTTGGAGGAACTCCTGTTTGCTGCACTTATTTTTTTTAAAGGATGAATTTTTAATTCTGATCAAGTCATGTGTTTTGAGAGCTTTGTTTTAGCTTTTATATGTAGATCTGTGGTCCATTTTGAGTACATTTTCGTGTCTGGAGTAGGGAGTGGATATTCCGTTCCAGCACCACTCCGCTTGTATCTGGGCAGCCTTGTTGAAAGTCTGGACAGAAAGGCAGGGGTGTATTTCGGGGCTCTCGTCTCTGTTCATGGAGTTGTATGGCTGTCCCTGTGCCGCGACACCCAGTCCTGATGGTGGCGGCTATGTGATCCTGCTGACCTTGTTTGCGTCCGGAGTATTTGGCCTGCTGGGGATCCTGTGATGTCCACAGGGGTTTTAGGACTGGAAGAGGCATTGGGGATTCTGACGGGGAACATGCTGAACGTGTAGATGAGCTGGGGGGAGGGCTTGCTGCTGCTGCTGGTGCTACTCAGTCCTCCACGTTATACGCTGGTTTTGATCTGCAGTTTCTGGATCTAGCATGTGGGCTCTTGGCTAACTCCCCTCATGCTCTTTATGCTCTTATGTAATGAGTCCCAGAGGCTTTTCCTGGGTAGAATATGTACATGTTTCTCAAGGTTTTTAATAGCTGTATCATTATATACCGTATTTAAGTAGTTCACTAAGGTGGTTTACAGCTTTTTCTTAACATGGTAGTGATGTCTCAGACATTTCTGCACCTATGTTTGTCCATCTCTTTTGGGTGTGTCCTTCAGGATAAATGTCTAGGTGCTGTATGGCCAGGTGGTGGCGGCTGCAGCAGCCCCCTCTCCCCTACAGGGCTGCCCTTGCCTGGCCTCTGCTCCGGGGTCCGTCCCCCTGCCCTGGTGCCACCTCCCACGTGGGAGCGCCCCCGACTGACTGTAGCTGGACTTACTGCCAGACACACGGGGCCACTGCTCGGCCGGCACCCAGCCTCTTCTGACCTGTGGTGGTGTGGCTCCTTCCCCCCTTTGCCGTCCATCCCATAGGTGAGATTGGCAATGCCGGCAGGTGGCCTCCCCCGCAGCCGCCACTTGTGGCCTGCCAACTCCCTTGCCAAGAGCTAGGTACCTCTTTAGAGTTGGTATTTCTCATCCGCATACAAAGTATTATATGAGGGGCGCCTGGGTGGCTCAGTCGTTAAGCGTCTGCCTTTGGCTCAGGTCATGGTCCCAGGGTCCTGGGATCGAGCCCCACATCGGGCTCCCTGCTCAGCAGCCTTCTTCTCCCTCTCCCTCTGCTGCTCCCCCTGCTTAAGTGCTCACGAGCGCACGTGCGCTGTCTCTGACAAAAGAGACAATATCCTCATTTTATAGACCAGAAGATGGAGTTTCAGAGAAGTAAAGTGATTTTATTCAAGTTCACACAACTGAGTCTCTTGGACTCTGAGCCCGTGTCCTTCAGTGCCAGCAGCTTCGCCGGGGTCCGGGACTGTCCTGGTGATGTCCTAGACGCCCAGTCGCTATCTGTGGACTCGTTTCCCTCGGAGCCTCAGTCAGAAGCTGTCTCCCGAAGAGGTCAACACTTCTTTAAGATGAGGACTCAGGGCCATTAGGGCAGCCTTCCCTTGTCCAGGATTCATTTGCTGCTTCCTTGGTTTTTCCTCTTGGGGCCAGAAGGCACTTCCTAGGGAGTCCATGCTGTCGGGGGGGGGGGTGGGGCACTGGAAATGATGGAGGACGTCTGTCTGTGCCTGTTGGGGCCGCCTCGGCAGAACACCGCAGGCGGGGGCTTAAAGCGCAGACGTCTGTTTTCTTCCGGTCCTGGAGGATGTCCGCGAGCAAAGTGTCAGCAGGTTTGGTTTTTTTTTCTGAGGCCCCTGTCCTTGGCTGGTAGATGGCCGGCTGCCTGCCCACTGTGTCCTCATCTGGTTGTGTCCATGTTGTCTGTGTGCCGGTCTCCTCCTCTTGTAAGGACACAGGCATCCTGGAGTGGGGGTCTTGACTCGATGTTTTCTACTTTCAAGTGTGTGTTTCAGGGGGAGATGGTTTTAATGCTATTGCAACGTGTCATCTTGTAAAATAGTGGTTCATAATAAGCGACCGTATGCATGTTGATCGTAGATAGATATGTAATTTGGCAAAAAACCTCAGACTTTAGTATAACTTTTTCAGAGAGGTGATTGACTTTTATTATTGTCACTTACTTTATTTTATTATTATTTTTTTTAAAGATTTTATTTATTTATTTGAGAGAGAGAGCGAGCACATGAGAGGGGATAGGGTCGGAGGGAGAAGCAGACTCCCCGCCAAGCAGGGAGCCCAATGCGGGGCTCGATCCCGGGACTCCAGGATCATGACCCGAGCCGAAGGCAGTGGCTCAACCAGCTGAGCCACCCAGGCGCCCCTATTGTCACTTATTTTAAAACACAGAGTTAGAATGCATAAAAACTCACGATTTGGGGGAATTCTGCAGACTTGAGCTTTTTCATCTGGGAACCCTGAGGATTAATGTTGGTGGGACACTTGGAGCCTCTAGCTTGCGGTCAGCCTCCATGGGCTCGCCTGGCCCAGCGCTATGTATTGGGCTTCCCACGGACTCCAGAGTTCCAGAGTTCCCAGGGCCCCTGCCTTACAGGGGGTCTGCTGTCCGTTCATTTGGGTCTTTTTCTGTTTATTGCATGCATTTATCATTTTGTTTGTTGATGACCTGATGTTACAGTTCAAGGTACTGCTTGCTTGGTCGTCTTTTAATTCCACTGAGGGGTGATGGCCTTGTTGCTCAGCATATCTTTCTTTCCTTGCAGGGCATTTTAGAAGCAGCCAAGGCCAGGGACATCCCCGTCGTCATCGATGCAGTGAGTGTGACTCTCCTCTCCTGCCCCTTCTCCCAGCCAGGCCCCTAAGGCTGTGCTGTATGTACCTGTCCTTGTCTGTAGGACGGGCTGTGGCTGATTGCTCGGCACCCAGCCCTCATCCAGGGCTACCGGAAGGCCGTTCTCACTCCCAACCACGTGGAATTCAGCAGACTCTCTGAAGCTGTGGTGAGTTTGCTGACCGCCCAAAAGATGAGGTGTAAGCACTCCCCATCCTGAGGAGGGGTGAGGGACGGCTCTGCTTCTGCCCCAGCTGTCCCTGCAGAGGTGGACTTGCAGGTGGCCAGCAAGGAGATGCATGTTTCCCACATGCCAGCAGTGCTCTTCTTTCTCGGTGGTGCATGGAATGACGGCGGTCTTCTCCCTAGAACATCTCTGACTGGGGGAGAGGCGGGGTGCTGGGCTCTGGGCGGAGCACTCCATCCCTGTCCTGCGTTGCCTCGCCTGTGAACTGTGGGTCCTGAGAGCATCGCTTCATAGGGTCTGAGGACGAAACGGGATGATGAATGTAAACCCCCGAGTTCTTACGTAGTAAGCGTCCCATAGATGTTAGCGCGTGATTATTCAGAGTTGTCACCTCTGCAAACCTGTGAAACTCCAGCCTTGGGCAGTGTCCCCTAACTGTGATCCAAAGGTAGGGGGAGGGTCCCTGAGCGGTGTTTGTGCATCCACCCGAGGACCTTGCTGTCCAGCTCTTCTGGGCCTGCTTCCCCCTAGTGGATGTGTTGTGCCTTTCCATGTGTGGGGCTGGAGCTCTTGGCGGAGAGAGAGTGTGTGTGTGTGTGGTTGGGGGGGTCTGAGGATCAGGGTAGACGGGCAGGATGTACCCGTGACAGTGGGCTCTTTTCATGTGTCTGACAACGGCGTGGTCTGCTGTCCCACCTTGCAGCTGAGAGAGCCTGGGAACGGCAGCGATCGAGAAGCTGTGTGGAGACTCAGCCAGGCCTTGGGGAATGTGACCGTGGTCCGGAAAGGGGAGCGGGACGTGCTCTCGGACGGTGAACAGGGTGGGTAGCTGTGGGCTTCACATGTGTCACTCAGTGTGGTGGTGCTGGGCACCAGCCCCTGGAAAACCACAGTGATGACACACGCGGTCCCTTGTGTCACCCATGTTCCACACACAGGGGCTTCCCGATGAGCTTGGTTTTATTTCTCTGTTTTGCAAAGGGCGGGGACCACGCCGAGTGTTCATCCTTGTTGATGTCAGGTGCGGCGGCTAGTTCTGTTGCCATCTGGGAGAAACCATGCAGGGGGGCCCTACTGGCAGGTGGCGCTCCAGGACCCCCGGCCCGCCTGCCAGTGCGGTAGAGGTAGAGGCAGTTACAGGAATATTCCACTGCATCTTGTTCTAAGAAGGGCTGGAAATGAGGGAGCTGGGAGCTGATGCGGGTGGAGGGGGTTGCCAGGTGCTGGATGTGTGGCAGCTTCCCCCTCGTTCTCTCCCCGGGGCCTGCCAGCTGCCCAGTGGGAATAGCAGGGGGAGATTATGGTGGGTGTCAGTGACCGTGAGATGCGGAGCCTCCCTAGTGCCCTGCAGCCAGGCCCTTCCCTCACGTAGTCTGAGTGGGAGGCAGGGAGTGCACTCGTTATGGTAACAGGACATAATACGGAATTGTCGTGGTGTAGGCCTGCTGACCAGGGAGCGGGAGGCTCGCTCGCATGCCCCCGACCCTGGACAGGAAACACTGAGGGAGTGTTCTCCGAGGGACCCGGAAACCTTTGGGGTTCATGTTGTTGGAAAATGCTTTAGACTGACACGTTGAGGGGATATAACCACGAGTTTTCTGAAGTAGCTGCTGGTTACACAGCATAAATGGATGAGCAGCCGCCGGCTGGGTCTGCGTAGGGGTGCTAGTGTGGCATGCACCTCCTTGAAGATGGTGCATGTCCCTGAGGGGCTGTGGGCAGCCCAGGCTCCAGGGCCCTGTGGCCTGAGGACCCTGGGTACCTATGCGCCTCTCCCCATCTGCTCCAGCAGGCCTGAGTTGGACCAGTCTGCTCGCCGCCTGCGCCACACAGGCTGGTGCTTCTGGGCCAGCCTGGGTCTGCTCTCCTGTAAACCAGGCCGCCTGGTTAAGAACATACAGGAGGAGCTGCCACGGATTGGGATGGCGCCTCGGGCACAGGCGAGCTCGTCCCCTGACGGCCATGTCCCTCTCACCCCACAGTGCTCGAGTGTGCCCAGGAGGGCAGCAGCCGCAGGTGTGGCGGCCAGGGAGACCTGCTGTCGGGCGCCCTGGGTGTCCTGGTGCACTGGGCACTGCTCGCCGGACCCGAGAAGACAAATGGGTATGTGTCATCTTTGCTTGCCCTCCCCACCCCCCGAGAGTTTTGAATCATGCAAGCCATTCAGGTTGCCCATACGTTTAATGCGTAGCCTTGTCAAACATCGGTGTTCCGCGGAAGCAGTCCCAGGGCAGGGGTGCTCTTGCTCCGTGGGCGGTCGGGACCCTGCCCTGTGGCTCAGTGCTGATGGCTTTGGGGTGACCCTGTTCTGGGCAGTGTGATCTGTATCCTCTGTAAAGCAAAACAGTGGAACAGAAACCGGCAGGGCAGAGGTGAGCTGGCCTTGACTACTGTCTGGCAAGATGGGAGTTTTCTGTAGGAGACAGAAGTCAGAGAAGCAGGCTTGGCCCACATCCACTGTCAGAGCCGTGAGCGCAGGCAGGGTCCAGTTCTCCAGGGCCCCCGTCTGCTACACCCATCGTGGGACGGTGGTGGCCACCTGTGCTGGGGCGGGATGTCCTTGGTCTGGAGCCCCCCCCCCCACCTGTGAAGCCATGCGAGGCCATGGGGTGGTGGCACAGCAGGGGGCAGGTCCCTGCCCGGCGTGTGTACACGTGGAAACAAAAGCTCTACGGGCATCTGTTGAGGGGGGCGGGAGCCCATGTTCTCAGGTCTTCGGTAGTCCTCCCTGGTGTTGCAGATCACTATAAACCTCGACCAGCGCGGGGGGCCCCTGCTGTCTGACGCTCATCCCCCTCCAGGTGCAGCCCTCTCCTCCTGGCTGCCGTGGGTGCGTGCTCTCTCACGAGGCAGTGCAGCCACCAGGCCTTCCAGAAGCATGGCCGCTCCACCACCACCACCGACATGATTGCGGAGGTCGGGCCTGCTTTCCACAGACTCTTTGAAGCCTGAGCTGAGGCACCGGGAAGCAAGCAGCACACGGACCGGGAGGCTGTGTTTGTCCAAGAACCCATGTCCTGTGTCCCAGTCCTCGGACTAACAGAGCAACGTGGTCCGTGGGTGGATTTTTGGCTGCATGTGGAGCTGGAGATGTTACAGTGACACCAAACCAAGTATCCCTGAAGTTTTCTTAGCTGCTCAGCAGGAAACGAGGCGCTGAAGCTTTGTGTGCGCTCTGGGACCACGGGCCCTCTGGGCTCATTTGTCCCCCTCCTCCCTACCCACGTGCTTCCCGTGTGTCTGCGGTGGATGCCCCTCACAGGGATCCTGTCGATCCTGTTAAAAAAAGCCTCTTGTAGCTATTTTGAACACTGATTAGGTTGAAATTGGGCAGAAATAGTAAGCATTAGTGGTTGTGCTTAATTGAAATATTTCAGAACAATCAGTGATCGGTTTTTTGGAGGAAACAAGACACTGAGCCCAGAGCACGTGGGTGGGGCTCTGGGATACCCGCGGCTCTGCCCTCTCCTCTGTGTGCAAGCACCCGAGTCCGTGGTGGCAGGAAGCACGCCCGGGGGAGTCACGGAGCCCTCGTTTGGGATGTGGCCCATCCGTGTGCTCTTGGGAGGAGGCAGACAAAGCTGGACATTTGGAGGGCACCCGAATGGGGGGACTGAACACTCGTTGAAAGTGGGTGTGTCCTCAGGAATAGATTCTGTTAAAGAAGTGCTGTCTGCGAGATGCCTTGTTAGCCTCTGGTTGGCTTCTGGATGGTGCTTTGGGTGGATGGTTTTCTCTGCGGCCAGAGAGCTGCTTCTCGGTGTCTTTTTCCCTAGGGTCGGTTCCTGCACTTGTAAGTACTTCTGTAGGTTTCACGATGCTTTCTACAAGGACCAGACCTGTGTGGATCCCTTATGTCCTTCTTGGCTGATGCTCTGAATCAGATGGCCCCCCACCCCAAACCGATTCTACTTTAAAACCAGATTTCTTAAAATGTTTGCCACTCTTGTTTCATGTAATTGAGACGCGTCACTGTATTTTGTTTTGGGAAATTACATCTAAATTCTGGTAACCATTAAAAGGCAAATCTGATTTCAATGCGGAGTTTTCTTTTTTTCTTACAGAGCCCAAACCCACCTTTCAGCTTTCCTGTCAGCAGAAAGACAAACATGTAAAAGCTTATTTGTCAGTTTTCACCTGTGCCTACCCACCTTGTTAAAATGTCCTTTCGTTCCACAGAAGGTAAAAATCAGGAGTCACAGAACTATTTTTATGTTTTTGATCTGAATGAGTACAAATTCTCTCGCTCAGATGGGAATGAGGAGTATATTCGAGTAGCCAGTGGCTGATTTAAAAATAACCCATATGGACTACTAGCTCCAGCTAAGGACATGCTTTTACCCTGAGACCAAGATCGCAGAGCACGGAAGTACACTGGCGTAGCCAGGCTCGGCATCTGGCCGTCAGGGGACAGTAATCCCCTTTACTGAAGGGACGCTGTTTGGGTGTCCTCGTCAAGGGCCTACCTGCCAGGTGGGTTCTTTGCGCGAGCTGGGTCACTGTCGGCAAGTCCATTTCTGAGCGGGTTTCCTCACCTGTAGGCTAGGACACCGGTGCCTCCTGGGGTCCTGAAGGTCAGTGACCAGGGAATGCGGCTGTGGAGCGTCACCACTGTGCCTAGTGTGTATGTGGCCGCTGCGCCCGCAGGGCATGCGCGCTCGACAGTACCGGACTCAGGGCGGCCTGGCCAGGGACGGAGAGCGGGGTGCGGGCCGCGCGGTGTGGGCGCCGGTTCTGCCTCCTGCTCTGCGCTCAGACCTGTGTCTTGCTCTCACCGGTGCATCCAGCACACGGTGGTTTTCTATGGTGAACACATTACTTTTGTCACAAATAAATGTAGGAAGACCACCTCCCCTCTGCGGGGAAGGGGTGCCCCGTTCAGGGCCCTCATCCCTAGTTCAGCACTGCCCCGGACCCCCTGTAGGACTTACATCCTCCGCCCAGGGCTCACGGTCCTCACATGACGGGGCCCAGGGGCCAGCATCAGGACCAGTGTTGGCCCGTGAAGAATCCACTTCTCAGGCGCATGGTATCGGTTGGATTGACTTTAATGGTGACTGAGCAGCCACAACGGGAAACTTTCATGTAAGCACAGGACGGTGCTGGGGGCCGTCAGCTCGCCGGTTTGGGGTCTTCTGTCCTCTGATCAGCAGCTCCCATGTGGACGTGCTGCTCCTGTCCTGGGGAGGAAGCACCAGGGGAAAGTGGGCCAGTCAGGGCTCAGTGCCCACCCGCTGCCTCCCCAGGGCCCTCCTGACGGCACTGGGGTCGGGGGCTCGGGACGTCCGGGGCTCTGCCTGGTCCACGTTTGTGCGATGCTGCCCCGTTTACACAGTTCGTCGGGGTGACGGTGCCCAGTGGCTCACCTTAATGCTGATGCCATGGGCAACGAGGTCCCGGCGCAGAGCGTCACACGCCTCCAGCAGGGGCTGTGTGTCCAGCAGCTGCTGCCGTCGGGCCTCCCTGGTGGCCGCTCCTGAGGCCAGGGCGAACTGCCGGACCTGCAGCCGGAACTGGACCAGCTGCTCCACCACGCTGTGCAGAGTGGCCCGGCTGTCGTCCCCTGAAACAGACTACACCAGGCAGAGCGGCGCAGTCAGCAGGGCCCTGGTAGCTGCCCACACGGTGGGGACCAGCTGGGAGGGGGCGTGGGGGGGGGGAGCACAGCGCCAAGCCGGCCCAGAGCACGTCCTCCCCAGGGCTCTCCTGGCCTGCATGCCCTGCTCAACCAGGCAGAGGTCCGCAACGCCGCCGGCAGGCGCACACCCAGGGCTCCCCTGTCCGTGTCCTCGGGAGCAGTCTCCATGAGGCCGACCTGGCTCGGCAGCCCTCCTCCCATCCCAGATGCGCTAACGTCTCAGGTGGGGTCTTTATCAGCTGGCTCCCGAGGCAGTCTGGGAGTGCAAGCCATGCTGACTCCTGAAACCGAATCTGTTCCTCTGACCCAACACGGAAAGCAACGTCCACCTCGTGTGTGGGTCGCGCACACGTGCGCTCTCGCTGCCTGTTCACAGACTGACCGTCTCCACGCCCAGCTGCGGGTCTCAGTGGGTCAGGCCCTCTCCCACTTACACGACTTCTCCTTCCTTACGGGGAGGGGATCCGAGTGCCTGTCTGTGCTCACGGGTGTGAAAGAAACAACACATTCTGCTCGGGGTCAGGCTTCTCCAACCTACAGAATCCTCAGTTACTGCTTCCACGATAAAGGACCGTATTTCTGGTCACAAAAAACATGAGCCCAAAGCGGGATCCAGTGTCTGCTGTCGAGGAGGGGGAGGTGAGCGAGCAGTTTCTGACAAGGGCCAGGCAGCGCGATCTGGGAAGAGTGAGCGGTCCCAGCATACGGATGATGGAGGCTGGACCCTTCATGTTCACGACCTGCTCCCCGAGTGTCTAAAAGTGGCCTCACGGTGGAGCAGGGCGGGGAGGGTGCTGGGGAGGAGCAGGGCCCCGGGGAGAAGAGGGGCGTCGTGCGGAAGGCTGCCTGAGCGGGGAGGGGGCTGGCCGGGTGGGGAGTGGGGGCACGGCCCAGACCCCTGCAGGGGAGACAGCGAGGGGCTCGGCCGGGAAGTGTCATCCTACTGTGCACCCAGCTGCACTCTGAGTCTCAGAAGAAACAAAGAAAACGTGTGCAGACGGATAGCACACGGTCTGCAGCCAAGCGGGGCTGCGGGTTCTGCTCGGAATCCCTGCAGCGTCAGGTAATAAAACACTAGCTCTGAGCCTGTTTGCTTTTTCAGGAACGTATTTTAGGCACGTAAATAAATTCAACACAACTGTCCATTAAAATGAACATAAAAGGGGAAGGAGACAGTGGTGACTACACATAGGCGTCCTCCCCCAGGCGAGGACTGAGAAGGGCAGGTTGTACCTGTCTGACTGCCAGAGAAATCCCGACGGTCTCGAAGAACTGTTCGACGTAGGACACGATGGAGCCAAACACGGCAGGACTCCTGGGACCGCCGGGTTCCTGTGACAGATCACCCAGAGGCGGCACGTGAAGAGCCAAGGAAACGAAAAAGACACAGGGACGCAGCCGGTCGCTGCTCCCATCGCTGGGCCATGCCTCGTGCGGCGGGGACGACCCTGGCGGGGCCCCTCACTGGCACACCACGGAACCCTGCGCCTCCATCTGCCCATCTGTAAGATGGGGATCTGCTAGGGCCTGCATGCTGGTATCCCCCGGATCCAGATGCTGAAACCTAACCCCCCGTGTGACAGTGTTAGCGGGCAGGTCTCTGGGAGGTCGCTGGCGCACGCAGAGAGACCATCAATGGGACTGGTGCCAAGCCCAGAGCAGGGCCAGGCTGCATGGGCACAGTGGGGTCCACACACGGCTTCCCCCCCATGTCCTATCTCACGTGCTAGCAAGCTCAGCTTCCACAGAGTTCCTCTGAGCAAACGGGAGGAGGCTGCGCTTCCCGTGGTGGCAAACACGGGAGGCCACCTGTCGGTGTGCAGGACCTCCCTGCTCTGGGCCGGGGGGAGGGGGGCGGTGCACAGCCCCGAGCAGGACGAAGCAGCTCCCGCAAGTCGGGGGGGGGGGCCTGGAGGCCACTGCAGGGAGCTGGCAGGGTGGCGGCTGTGCCTTCCCGAGAAGGGAGCCCCCACCACACCACCTACCCTACAGCCTCGTCTGGGGACGCACCTTAGCGTGCGCCTTCAGCTGTCTGTTCCCGTGGTGAATGAGGTCCATGACGGCGTCCATCGCCGCGGGCGTGTCGAAGTCGTCCGCCAGGGCAGCCTTCACGGCCTGCTTGGTGTGGCGGAGCCTGGGAGAAACACGATGCTCCTCAGCCCCTGGACCGGCCCAGCGGCAGGAACGGGGTGCAGTCTGGCCCCCCCCGCAGCACAGAAGTGACTGTGAGTTCGCCCCCGGCCCTCCTAGGCCGGGCTCACACCTGGGAGCGCTCACAGTCCTGACGGGGTAAGATCAGCTTGGCACCATCCCGTCACCCCCAAGTTCGGGGAACGCCTCTAACCCCTGGGTCTGAGCACACCCTGTATGTGCACCTCCCAACAGCTTACAAACGCAGCGGTGAGAAGGAAGGGCCCCACGACAGTATGCCGCGTTGTCAGCTGTTGTGCTACGCACACGTGTCTGGTGCCGGCTTGGAGAGGAAGACACGATGCGGCCCCCTCCCCAGGAGCCCACAGGCAGGACACCTGGCACCACGATGACGGCCCGGCCTCCCTGAGGGGGAGGGTGGCCCCAGGTCCCGGTGGAGGGAGGCTGCTCATGCCCTGCCCCCAACCCCTTGTGAGCTACGCCTGCGCATGGACAGCCTGAGCCTCTGAGCAGCAGGCCTGCCAGGCGCAGGGCCCCGGCCCCCACTGGGCTCCTGAGTGTGTCCTGCTTCCCGCACTAGGCTGCGGCCTCTCCACGTCCTCCCCTCTGCGGCTGGAGCCCCGCCCCCCGCCCGCCGGCACGCTCCCCCCACCTCTTCCTTCCCCAGCTATGGCAAGGACACTCCGGTCCTCCCAGCTGCACACCTGCTGCTTCAGACACTGAGCTTCGTCCCCGAGACTAGCTCCCTACTGCCCGCCATTACTGGTCTTCACCCCACTTCCTGCAGACTCCCCGATGTCCAGGCATGGGGAAGGACTGGGCTCCTACCCGCAGAGCAAGGTGACCAGAGCCTCTGTATGGCTCACCGACAAACGCCAGTGAGCGCCCCGTCCAAGCACAGGTGTGACCCCCCCCCATAGCCACCCCGCACGCAGGGCATCCTCGTCTGTCCCCAACAGGATCACCGACTCGCCCGAGGCACCTCCTGCACCAGCAGCCCCCTGGGGACCTCAGCCTCTGAAAGCCTCTCCCGTCTCAGGAAGCCCATGTCTGGCGCCCGGGACCCTCGGGTGGATGCTGGTAGGGCACCTACCTCTCCCACAGCACATCGTCCCTGATGGGGCCGCACACCAGCTGCCCCTTCATATAGGCCTGGGCGTCCTCCACAAACGCGGCCGCCGCCAGGAGGAGGTGTTTGGCTTCGAGCATGGTGCCATCACTGTAGTCGATGGCTGTGGAGGGGACGTGG